AAGACTGAAGCAAACAGCAAAAATGTCAAACGCACTTGACACCGAGGGACCTACTTGGGACTTAGTATTCTCCCCTCTACTCAATTAGGTAGTAGAATCGTCCAGAAATAACTATACCAAAATTCATTTCACCATTTTGAAAATAATGCATAATCAGCCAGTGGATTTTTGAAAAATGACCACTTAACTAAGCCCTATTCCCATTGAAAAAGGGATTTCACCAGGACACAATTGTGGTGCTTTCTACAACGTGCCAAAGTGAGCAGAGAACAATTGGCGATGGAACAGTTACTGTTTAATGGGTTTTAACTTACCGATGGCCACAGTCTTCACAATACATTGTGTCTGACAGTATTCCGTGGAACATTTTGGAGAAAAACGGTACATCACTGAATTTCTAAAAGGAAAAAAACGTTATCTAACACCATTTGACGAAGATACGAGCCTTCAAACTGTACAGAGAAGATTTTGTATTATTATATGGGGTATATCAATCACATAGATCCTTTTATAAAATAGACAAGCTAACCAGAAAAACGAAATGCTGCGTACACCTTTCTTCCAAACCGTCTAATTAAGAAGTGCTACGGACTGGAGGCATTCCCAATTGACATCCGATTAAGCTTGGAAATTTTTAAACAAATTCTGGATTTTAAATATCCACTTGAAAATTCCATCCCAACTGGTAAAAAGAAACTGGGAAAAGGTTACTCCAGAAGCTAATTTAGCTGTATAATAAGAAATACCAACTGAAGCCCATAGAATTATATTGGTGAAAACATGATAAAAGTTGTAGCCTGATCAGGATACTATTTGCTCCATTAATTAATATACCTAGAGAGAAACACACTTGAATGTTTTTGTGCCCCGGAAACGCATTAAAAGGGTCCGTTTATGATAAAAATGTATCCACGGGTAGATCTGTTTACTGCAGTTTGCTCGTGTTTTGAATTAGACAACATACAAGATTAAATCCGAAGAAGTAGTTGGGCAATCACCGCGGATTCAACAATTTTTGTCCTTTTGAATCACAATTTTTATATTCAGCGATTATTCATGCATTAAATTATCACCTTCATGGCTTCATCTAGTTGGTCAATTAGAGATTGGAAAAAGTCGAATGCGTCCTGCTGTTCGTGGGGATCTATCGGAGTGTCTGTATTCCACAGACGAAAGGCTTTCCAAAACCCAACCGGATCGTAGAATTGCAGTTGTGAGAAGAGTAGATTCAGAAAGAGCTAAAAAGCAGAAAAATGCAACTTTTAGGGACTGGGCTGCAAATCCTATTTACTCGGTTAAGAACAAACAACCTCCTGAGTTTGATACAACAGGCTGTTCTCATCCAGCTTTGATGTGGGCACATCCAAAATGGCTTCTGCCACACCAGGCTGCATGAAGAGCTGTTGAAGCACGGCATTCATGTAGCAAGTGGCTCCGCCATTTCGAAGACCCGCGAAG